CATTGCAACTAATGAGTTAGTTGCGGGACGATGTATTATGGAACACGTAAAGAGACTTGCCGGTAACGAGATTGAACTAGGTATTGAGATACCGACGATCGAATCTCGGGCAAGTAACATACCGATGACAAAGGGAACAACGTATGTTGTTATGCGGTTTGACCGATAAAGATCTTCGTAGAATATGTGGGAGCCAATATGGGCATCCAGGTCCCGCTATTGGTTATTGACCGGAAACGTGTCTCGGTCATGTCTACATAGTTCTCGAACCCGTAGGGTCCGCACGCTTAACGTTTCGTTGACGATATAGTATTATATGAGTTATGTATGTTGGTAACCGAATGTTGTTCGGAGTCCCAGATGAGATCATGGACATGACGAGGAACTCCGGAATGGTCCGGAGATAAAGTTTGATATATGGGATAATAGTGTTTGATCCCTGGAAGGGTTCTGGAATTCACCGGAAGGGGTTCCGGATGTTTCCCGAAATGTTTGGGTACGAGAACACGTTATTTGGGCCAAAGGGGAAAGCCCACAAGGTTTTTGGAAAGCGCAAAAGGAAGTTTTGCGGAGTCCAAGGGCCAGACGCCAGGGTCCCTGGCGTCTGGGTCCAGACGCCGGGAACCCTGGCGTCTGGCCCTGGAGTCCGAGAAGGACTCTTGCCTTTCGGGTGAAACCGACTTTGTGGAGGCTTTTACTCCAAGTTTCGACCCCAAGGCTCAACATATAAATAGAGGGGTAGGGTTAGCACCAAAGACACATCAAGAAACACCAAGCCGTGTGCCAGCAACCCCGTCCCCTCTAGTTTATCCTCCGTCATAGTTTCCGTAGTGCTTAGGCGAAGCCCTGCGGAGATTGTTCTTCACCAACACCATCACCACACCGTCGTGCTGCCGGAACTCATCTACTACTTCGTCCGTCTTGCTGGACCGAGAAGGCGAGGACGTCATCGAGCTGAACGTGTGCAGAACTCGGAGGTGCCGTGCGTTCGGTACTTGGATCGGTCGGATCGTGAAGACGTACGACTACATCAACCGCGTTGATAAACGCTTCCGCTTAGCGATCTTCAAGGGTATGAAGATACACTCCCCCTCTTGTTGCTATGCCATCACCATGATCTTGCATGTGCGTAGGAATTTTCTTAAAATTACTACGTTACCCAACAGCCACTTCCAATCTCTCCTCGCCGCCTCCTCTCCTCTATTATACGATGATACGAGACAATGTCGCCGCGCAAGAACACAACCTATCGGCTCGACTTGGTGGTGGAGCGGAACCTCCTGTATAAGACACCCGTATTGACGCGAACTCTTCCTGCGAAGTACTAGTTGTGATAGTCACCAAATCGTCCTTCCATGATGGCGTATCCCTTGGCGTTGGCGCAACCGCGGTCCTTATTCAAGTGAAGAGGAGAAGGACGCCATCCCCGCCGCCCCCTCGTCCTAGTAAACAAGGATGTCTCAAGGCCTAGCCAAAGCCAGTGCCAGAGCTTGAGGACCTAATCGACGACCGGTTGTGTCTCTCCATACTAGTAGCTCAGAAATAGGAGCGCATCCTACGAGAGTACGCCCCCGCACTCACCAACAAAGAGCACAACAGCTCGCAACTGCCGCTCGTGAGTACGCTCCCTATGCCTACTTTGGCGGTTTCTCCATAGGAGGAGGAGGATGAGGATGACAATGATAGGGATGAGGATGACAATGATAAGGAGGGCAACGACTAGACGATGACACCAACTAGTGTAGGTAGTACTAGGTAGCAGTGTCACTCGAATAGCGACCTTGCTTATGTTGAAAATGTCTTTGAATGACATTTCGACTGGCTAATTATATGTAAAATGAAGCATTTTGGTCACAGAATATAGTTGTTGTTAAGTTATTATGTTGATACACGCATTTGCTAGATAACTTTGAGCTTAACTTGCCCCTACAATATAGAAGAAAATGAGAAAAGACAATTTATTAAGGCCGCATTATGATGACACTGCATTTGCACAGTAGGCGTTGCCTCCAGATCCATATGGAGACAGATCCATATGGAGCACGCTCCAGGTAAACCCGGGCAAAAGTCGGGCCAGGCCGGGTTTCGGGCCGGGCTAAGCCCGAACTTCATTTCTCAAGCCCGAGCCCGGCCCGAAGCCCAAAATACTCCTTGTTTTCAAGCCCGAGCCCGGCCCGAAATCAAGCCCGAAGCACGAAAGCCCGGCCTGAACGCTATTTTTCATTGTACGCACATGCAAGCCCGGCCCGAAGCTCGAAAGCCCGGCCCAAAATACATGAAAAGTGAAGTCCGAGCCCGGCGTGAACTATCTTCCGGGCTGCAAAACAAGGCCCGAGCCCGACCCGAACGTCAAGCCCGGCCCGGCCCGGCCCGGGTTTTTCGGGCCGGGCTCGGGCCGGGCTGTCCATGCCCGGGTTTAGCTCCAGGGGTGGACCTAGAAACTCTTTTGAGTGGGGCCATATTTTGGCACATTTTGTATAAATTTAGAGATTTTAGTATTTGCTCCCTTTGTTCCTAAATATTTGTCTATTTAGATATTTCAAATGAACTACCACATACGGATGTATATATATATATATATATAGTTTAGAGTGTAGATTCATCCATTTTGCTCCGTATGTAGTCATTTGCTGAAATCTCTAAAAAGACAAATATTTAGGAATGGAGGGAGTATTTTCTAAAAGTTACCCCAAATTTCATAAGATGTTCAAAACTTGAGTGGGGGCACTCACATCAACATGGGTCCGCCCCTGGCACGCTCCATATCCCATATGGCAGATGGAGATATAGTGACTACTAAAATTGCTCTTGGTGGTGCATGAAGAAACTAACCTATACGTTTTTTATGCTAACCAACCTGTATGTTGGTTTAGTACATTCACCACAAGAAGGATAGGACTAAACTTTTCACATTTGTTTGTCATTGTTAATTGGCTATACGAGACTCTGTGATTTCTAGGAATTAATGATAATAATACTAGCAAATATGCCAGTGCGTTACACGGGAGAATAAAACACATGCTCCTAGCGAATAAGCACGACTCAAAACCCCTTCATAGGCCCACGTTATCTATTTTAACATACCGCCTCATCCATGTTATTGCTTATCCTCATTCCCACCTTCATCAACCATGATCGTGGTGTCCATCTGATCACATTGCGTCCAAACGTAGCCAATCCCAAGGTGACAATCTCGACCACTACCTAAACCCTTAATCCACTCACACTTGCCACTAAACCACACCATCACATCACAAGTGAATTTCTAATACTTTTAAAACTAATCTCGGCAAGCTAGACGTGATCTCTGCCCTTCCCGCTAGAATCTACACCTAGTCTACACACTATCCCTTTAAATTATACTAGCAATGTGCCTATGCGTTGCAACGAATCTAAAATAGAATAGTACTTATTCATAAACTTGAAAGAAAACATTCTTGTTTTGATATACACATACCACTAAAAATATATTACGTTTCACTCAAAATATATTTCTGAAGTTGTTTAGATGAGGTGAGGGAAAGATGTGTTGCTTTCAAGATAATAAGGAGTTTTCTGTAAATTAGAGCAGAGAAGTAAGCTATTGTTGCAAAAATGCCATAACTTACCATACAACCGTTAAATACAAATCTAATGGTCAGAAATGACGGGTGGCAAACACAACACAACATCATCACCAGCTGAGTCTTGGAGATATTAGTTTTTCAGAATGCATCAATATTCTTTTAAAAATATGTAAACACTTTTTAAATCACATGGACTTCTGAAAAGAGAATGGATATATTTTAATTACAAATATTTTTAAGCATGTGAACGATTTTTAGAATTACATGAACTTTTCCTTTTAGAAAAGGGTCAATAATTTTCAAATTATATGAATATTAGATTAACACGTGATTTTTTTCTTAAAACTTCACAAAATAAATTAAAATGCATAAAGGATTTCTAAAAATTACACAACATTTTCAAAAGGCAAAACATTTTAAATAACACAAAAAACTAAAACGTATGAATTTTTTTAATTCTAATCGTACTATTTCCTTCCCGTCCTAGCAAGAACGGAGGTTATTCTTTCTCTCAATTTCATGAATCCTATCTTATACACACAATCATTAGGCGGTTTGGTGGACCATAAGGTGTTGGTCGGGAGTTTTATTAGTAGGTATGTAGATATAGATATAGATTTCAGACCTGCACAGTGTTCTTACTCAATTCTTAAGTACTTCCTCGTTTAAAATTACTCGTCGAAGAAATAAATTCGAAGAAATAAATATATCTAGATGTATTTTAGTTATACATACATCCAGGAGAGAGTATAGAAAAAGACCTATTAGTGGCATAATTTTCAGTGGCGACCTAGTTCCTGCCTGCCAGACAGTAAATCTGTTCAGTACAAGTACTCCCTCCAATCTTTTTAGTTTGCATATAAATTTTATTCAAAGTCAAAATATCTTTATTTTGACCTAGGAAAAATATCAACATTAATAATGCAAAGCAACATTGTTAGATTCAGTATGAAATGTAGTTCCATAGTATATTATAAATATAGTATAAATATTTGATATTGTGGTTATTGATATTTTTTAATATAAATCTAATCAAAGTTTGTCAAGTTTGACTTGACATAAATTTAATATACCGAGTAAAAAGGACCGAAGGGAGTACGACGAATCATTCCAGCTAGTTAAAGAAAACGAAAAGAGTGCTTTATTATCGGAAAAGAGCGCTTTAATGACCCTGTCCGCCCGAACCAGAAGCAAAAAAGGGCCAAATTTTGTGTATGCAAAATCTGCACTGCACTCAAAACCCGACCGGTTTATTTCTCATTTATTCATCGCCAAATCTGTTGGCGATCACACAAGTAGAGACACGACTGGGAAAAGAAACGCAATACAAAGATGTCTCACCAGACTCGGCAAGAACAAGACACAACCGTACCATACTTTAGGTTGCAGAGGTTGCAGAGCTCGCACACACATCAACTAAACTGGCTCCAATGCTCAGCCGGTGATCTCGATGGCCTTCACCTCAGGCTTCTTCACCTCGGCCTTGGGCACCGTGACAGTGAGCACACCGTTCTCCAGACCGGCCTTCACCTCCTCCACCTTGGCGTCCTCCGGCAGGCGGAAGCGCCTCACGAACTTGCCGCTGCTACGCTCCACACGGTGCCACTTGTCGTTCTTGTCCTCCTTCTCCTTCGTGCGCTCGCCGCTGACGACGAGCACGTTGCCGTCCTCCACCTCCACCTTGACCTCCTCCTTCTTCACGCCGGGGAGGTCGGCCTTGAAGACGTGCGCCTCAGGGGTCTCCTTCCAGTCCACGCGAGCGTTGGCGAACGCAGCTGTCTCGTTGTTGTTGTTGTTGCCTGAGATCATCGCCGGGACGATGGAGCGGAAGGTGTCGAAGGGGTCCGCCCAGAGGTCCGCGAAGGGATCGAAGACGTTGCTCCGCCTCACCATCGACATTGTCGGTGCTGATTGCTTCGGCTTGTGCGCTCGGAAGAAAAATTCTGTATCGGATCGTAGGTAGGAACAGGATGCTGTTTGCTTGCTTTTGCTTGACACTGGCTTGAGTTGGAATGGAGGGCGATGGGAGGCGACGTACTTATAGTGTCGCCGGGTGGTGCTCTTGAAGCGTCTCGAGGTCTCTCCAGTGAACGAGCGTCTGGTGCTACTTCGTCGCTTTCCAACTCGGCTGTGAGCTTCCTTTTCCTTTCATTTTTAGCCCATCAAGGTCCTACCGTGTTCTAGAATCCAGAGTCCTGCTTTGCTGTTGGTCGGGCTTGTCCATTATTTTTTCTTTCTACAGCACCAGCACCCCGTATTCCAGAATCCAGAATCGAGGCGGCGACTACTCTGGAATGTGACGGGGCCTTTTCTAGAAAGGCATGGAGAACTAGAGATGCCTCCGGAGCGAACCGAGCATACGACCAACCGAGAAGAGAGTCAATCACAGACCTTTTCGTTTCCTGCAGTTGCTGTGCGCTTCCGTCATTTATTTGAAGTTGCATGTACTATTATGTACTCCCTCCGTTTCTAAATATAAGTTTTTTTAGAGATTTTAAATGAACCACCACATACGGATGTATATAGTTACATTTTAGAGTATAGATTCACTCATTTTGCTTCGTATGTGGTCATTTGTTGAAATCTCTAGAAAGACCTATATTTAAAAACGAGGGAGTAGTAATATACTTACAATTACTAAGCTCTCAAGGAATAGAGGCCTAGCCGAGCTCTGAACTTTTCCATTTCTTACAATGGACCCTCCATGCAATGGTCACATCAGGCCACGGACCCCGCATAACAGTGTTGGAACCAATATTCTACTTAAACATTTAATTAAAACATTCAAGAATCTTATATTTTGTGAATTTCAAAAAATGTTCACAATTTTTTTTAAAAAAATCACGAATTAAAACGAGGCCTAGCTGAGCTATGAACTTTTGTTTCTTACAATGGACCCTGCATCACATCAGGCCATGGATCCCGCATGACAGTGTCAGAACCAACATTCTGTTTAAACATTTTAATATAAACATTCAAGAGTCTTATTTTTTGTGGATTTCAAAAAATATTCACAATTTTTTTTAGAAATTCACAAATTAAAACGAGGCCTAGCTGAGCTCTGAACTTTTTTTTTCTTATAATGGACCCTGCATGTAATGGTCACATCAGGCCACGGTCCCGCATAACAGTGTTGGAACCAACATTATATTTAAACATTTTAATTAAAACATTCAAGAATCTTATTTTTTTTGGATTTCAGAAAATGTTCACAATTACTTTAAAAAACAATCATGAATTAAAACGAGGCATAACTGAGCTCTGAACTTTTTTTTCTTACAATGGACACTGCATGTAATGGTCACATTAGGCCATGGGTCCCGCATAACAGTGTCGGAACCAACATTCAATTTAAACATTTTCATAAAAACATTCAAGAATCTTATTTTTTTTGGATTTCAAAAAATGTTTAATTTTTTTTAAAAAAATCACGAATGAAAAAGATGTTTTTACATTATAAATATGATAAAATAACCATGAATTCTAGAAAATTGTTCATAAGGTTTAGAATTGTTCAAGATTTTTTTAAATGTTCATGAATTTTAAATAATGTTTGTGGATTTAAAAATTTGAAAATTGTTCCCTAATATGATAGTAGCATGGCATTTATTATGATACGGTATCATGATATGATACCCCTCTAACCCTAGTATCAGTGCTTTATTTATTGTCATGCATGACAAATAGTTGCATGACATTTATTATGATACGGTATCATGATATGATACTCAACCTTTTATTTTTTCATTTAATTCTATGACATCTAATCAAAATTGTCTAGTTGACATGCAGGATACTAGCCATGATACTATCATTACAACCAACCTGGGATCTGTGGTCTTGAGACAGAAAAATAAGTGGCAGGCGTGGGGCACATACTTACAGCGCTCATAGCCATTTGTCTTTCTGTTAGGTTACCTAGAAAATGTCAAACTATTTTGTTACTGGTTAACAACCACGCACAATCCATTTTGAGTTTTCTAGGCTTTTCTAACACCCATAACTACACATGCTCAAATCGTTGGGGTTCATTCACCGTTCAGGTTTTTGAAACTATACTCTGACCTAGGAAAAATCACACTAATATGGTTTAAGAGCATCTACAACACGACTTGCCCAGACCGTCACCTTCTATGTCCGCGTGTTCGTCCGGGCTCGTCCGCGAATAGTGATCTGGCAGTCCTCAAATCATTGCATCCACAGCCACGTATTTCATATCCGGCACGCTATATCTATATTAAACATGCAACAAAACTCGTAGTACGTAATCATCAAATGAACAAATTCAATAGGAAATGGAAATATAAACCGACAACAAATGGACATAATTCACATCTAAACATCACCAAAAGTTCACCACAGTTCAACCGTCCGACAAATTCTAACTATATTAGTAGTACGAGCTAGATTATAGAAACGGGGAGAGGATCGAGCTTCACCAATTCCTCGCCGGCCCTTGGCCCTTTCGGTCATCGACGCTGATGTAAGCGTCCATGATAGGAGGTGGGTCGTTGTCGCAGCCGTCATCATCGGAGGAAGAGGAGATGATGATGTTGCCCTTCAAGCGTCAGATGATGCAGTCCTGCTTTCGCTTGACCTTCGCCACCCGCGCCGCATTCGCTACTGCTTCCGCTGACTCCCGCTCGAACTGCTCAATGCTGATAAGTCTTCATCGTATATACTTTTTCAAACTCTTTTGCCCTTGTTTTGGACTTTAATTTGTATGATTTGAATCGAACTAACCCGGACTGACATTGTTTTCAGCAGAAGTGCCATGGTGTTATTTTTGTGCAGAAATAAAAGTTCTCGGATTGCCTTGAAAAATTACGGAGAATATTTTTGGAATTAATAAAAAATACTGGCGCAAGAATTATCCACAGGGGGCCACCCAGAGGCCACAAGCCCTGGGGGCGCGCCCTGCAGGCTTGTGGGCCCCCTGGAGCCCCTCCTACCTCAACTCCAACTCCATATAACCCTATTCGGGGAGAGAAAAATCAGAGAGAAGAGTTCATCACATTTTACGATATGGAGCCGCCACCGCCTCATGTTCTTCATCGGGAGGGCTGATCTGGAGTCTGTTCGGGGCTCCGGAGAGGGGGATTCGTCGCCATCATCATCACCAACCACCCTCCATCAACAATTTCATGATGTTCACCGCCGGGAGTGAGTAATTCCTTCGTAGGCTACTAGACGGTGATGAGTTGGATGAGATTTATCATGTAATCGAGTTAGTTTTGTTAGAGTTTGATCCCTAGTATTTACTGTGTTCTAAGATTGATGTCGCTATGACTTTGCTATGCTTAATGCTTGTCACTAGGGCCCGAGTGCCATGATTTCAGATTTGAACCTATTATGTTTTCATGAATATATGTGAGTTCTTGATCATACCTTGCAAGTTGTAGACACCTAATACGATCTATGATCCGCATACCCCAAGGTGACAATAATTGGGATTCTTTCTGGTGATTACCGTAGTTTAAGGAGTTTATGTATTCACTAAGTGCTAATGCTTTGTTCCGATTCTTTATTAAAAGGAGGCCTTAATATCCCTTAGTTTCCTTAGGACCCCACTGCCACGGGAGGGTAGGACAAAAGAGATCATGCAAGTTCTTTTCCATAAGCACGTATGACTATATACGGAATACATGCCTACATTATATTGATGAATTGGAGCTAGTTCTATGTCACCCTAGGTTATCACTGTTGCATGATGAATGCCATCCGACATAATTATCCATCATTGATCCAATGCCTACAAGATGTTCACATATTGATCTTTGCTAAGTTACTCTGCCATTGCCGTTGCCACTGTTACAATTGCTACGAAACTGCTACCGTTACTTTTGCCACTATTACCGTCACTTCCATATTACTTTGCTACTAAAAACTTTGCTGCAGATATTAAGTCTTTCAGGTATGGTTGAATTGACAACTCAACTGCTAATACTCGTGAATATTCTTTGGCTCCTCTTGTGTTGAATCAATAAATTTGGGTCGAATACTCTACCCTCGAAAACTGTTGCGATCCCCTATACTTGTGGGTTATCAAGACCTTTTTCTAGCACCACTACCGGAGAGCATAACTCTATTCTCTGAGTTATTTGGGATTTATAATTGATCATTATGAATAATTTGAAAGATACCAAAACCAAGATCTATCCCTCTACTACGAGGGGAGGTAAGGAACTGCCATCTAGCTCTACACTTGATTCACCTTCTGTTTTGAGTAAGCTTGCGACACCACCACCTGCTAGTAATCTTAATATGTCGCAAGAATTGATGATGCTACTTCTGCTATGAGTGGTACTTATGATGATGCTAGTACTTTGCTTGATAACACTGTGCCACTAGGTGAATTTCTTGATGAACAACTTGCTAGGGTTAGAGAGAATGAGATTAATGAAACTGATGATATTATTGAAACTGAAGATTATGATTCTCCCCCTAGATATGAATTGCCTAGGGTACCTGAGGGTTATATTATGGATGAAGAAACTGCTAGAGACTATTTGCTTGCAATGATAGAGATGATCTTAAGAAATTACTAGTCAAGCTGAAAGAAAAATCTTTCAATGCTAGAATGCAATATGACCCTAAGTTTGCTACTTCACCTATCTTCGTTGCTGATAAGGATTATGAATTCTTTGTCGATCCTGAGTTAATTACTTTGGTTGAATCTGATCCTTTCCACGGTTATGAATCTGAAACTGTTGTGGCACATCTTACTAAACTGAATGATATAGCCACTGTTGGGGAACACAATAATTTCAAAAAAATTCCTACAATCACACAAGATCTATCTAGGTGATGCATAGCAACGAAAGGGGAGAGTGTGTCCATGTACCCTCGTAGACCGAAAGCGGAAGCGTTTAGTTAGCGCAGTTGATGTAGTCGAACGC